TTGATGTAAAATTTGAATAATGGTTTTAGTGATGTTAACATAAATTAGCAAATGCATCAATTATTAAATTGATACAAATCCATATTTTTGTATCAATTTTGTTAAAATGATGTAAACTAATAAAAATTTGTATCAATTTTATTAAATTGATATTAAATTAATCAATAATAACATCAATTAACATAAGTGATGTTAGACAACAAATTTTGTATCATTTATTAATACGTAATTCAAAATAGTATCGTTCAATTTTGTGATACGATTTAATTGATACAATACACACATTTTTTTGTAGTGTATCTTCCCATTTAGTGTTCGAGGTTTTGCATTTGAAGCATATTTTCTCTCGAGGTCTCTTGTTCTTTGGAGATGCAGTGATGATGTAGAATCTTTGTTGTGTCCTTTCACGATTTAGTGTTGTTGGTTCAGCTCGAATTACCTCTGTCTCAAGTCTTCCATTCTTTGGGAGATGACCTAGGATTTTGGGTCTGCTTGAGCCTATATTTGCGGGCACATCTTCAGCAATTTCAGTTTTTCTTGGAAAGTCATGCAATTGTTCAAGGCCAGCGGGTTAGTGTTGGCTTAGTGTTAGCAACTAGATTCTTTTTTGCTTTTTTTTGTCTCTTTTATCGTAGGTTAAAAAAATAGAATCTGATATATTTGCATATTTCAAAATATACAAAATAGCCCACAAAAATCTCACTTTAAAATAATACTACGAATATCTAGCGTTCTTATGAGTTACGCAGAGAATAAATTGATTAACTTTTTTTTCAAGTTATTAAAAACTTAATAGTAAATTATACACAACATATTCCATTCACTCATTCATTTTCATCTACCTTTTGAAGAATCAAATAAATTATACTAACTAAAAGGAATTGTTTGAGGCTCCTCGAGGCCTCTATATCAGCAAAAAGAAAGAGCTCTATTATCATGCCATGTCAGCTTTCTTTTAACAAGAGTAGTTTTAGGTTAATGAAGAGGGCTCTAAAATCATGTGAGGCCACAAGCGAAGCCAACACTCCCTCTTCCCAATTAGTGCTTACATTATGTAAGTTACATAGTCATTATCAATGCTCACGGACGCTATAAAGCGTGTCCTTTGATATCTCCACCACCAGATCCCTATATTATTACTTTTTTGTAGTAAAATAAATTTCAAACGATGATGGTGAACACCTAAAAGCATGGAAACAAAGTCTTAGAATTTTACTTACACATATTACTTTATTAAC